GGAACCATGTAACCACAGGGGGTGGAAGGGAGAAGTTCAGACTAAGGCTACAGGACACTTCCACATATAGAAACCATCAAAGGCTAGTTACACTGAAGCTTGACCTTATATTCAATACGTTGTGCCAACCTTCATCATCACTACTTCCTTCACATGTTTCTTCCCCTTTCCTCCACTGAATTATGCTCTAAGTCCCCTAAAAAGCGTTTGAGTATCTAAGTGCCTTGGACCATGATCTGGGCTGGCACAGCAGTAGAAATATTTAACAAAATTCAAGTCAAAGAGAAGGTATGGACACTTTTTAATTCTTACTCCCCTTGACCACTCTAAGTAACTCTGGATAAAACCAAACTGTTTGTATCTATCAGTAGAAGACCTATCATCTATAAATTTCATCTACAGTGGGGTAATTGTACAGAGAAATCCACATACAGGACAGTTTACTTACATCTCTCTTTCCAACAGAATTTTCTTTTCACTGATTTAATCTATTATTCTAGATTAAATTGGAAATTTCTGTAAAACGACTTCAGAATAATGTTTCTAGATTTTTCAGCAGCAGAAATCACAATTCAGCCCATCATTTCTAATGCTTACACAGAAAAGTCAATAAAATGCAAAAAAAAAAAGGCAGGGAGAAAGCTTCTTTTGTACTTGATAGCACCAGACCTATCATATTTTAGAACACTCCTGGTACTACTACATCAATAAAATTGTTAAACAAAGCACAAGTAGAGGAGTGCGCTATTGTCATTTTTTAGGATTTCTTGAAGGTTTGTCAATAAGGTATTATAAATTCACTAAAGTCTGAAAACCAAGTTATTTTCACACGCAAATTTGCAGTTTCTACTTTGGAGCTGCAGAATGGTCAGCCACATACAGTCATACACAGAAGTCCAAATCTTGCATGTTGCCCCACATTGCACATGTACACATAAGGCCACCAAGACTATTTTGATTCCAGAGACGTGTCTGCCTGTATGGAGAAGGAATTAAACACATTTCTTCCTGAAACTTGCTTACAAGCTCAGGTCTTCTTCAGTATTCCTAACCAAGAAAAATTATGGCAATTTAATAAAACCTGGAGAAAATCCTACAATGTGACAGATCAGCTATAAAAGCACACACTGAAATGAGGACAACCTTTAAGCCATCAGAATTTTCTTCATGAGACCAGATTTTGTGTGTCATACTCAGCACGCAGAGATTTTCATTTTTCAAAGCTGTAAGGAATTTGACAAGTAAACCTACTACAGTTAATAGCATTTTAATCTTTATGCATAATAATCACAAACTTACATTGTACAGGTTTGATAATAATAACTGACAGCTGAAATTGAAGTATACATTTTGTTCCAAAATAGATGCGCATGTAGGTGGATGTGTTGTAGAAATATAATATACTACACGGCTGAGCCTAGATAAGCTGGTGATTCTCAAACGTCAGCATCATCTGCACAAAGTTAGGGCTGAAATCTGCTCTCTTAAATACCTGTTCATCCTTCTTATGACACTTTTCCTTAAAGAGCTCAGTGAATAGTAGATAAAATAAGCGTCTAATGAGGTATGACAGAAACTCTGATGTAGCTAAACAGCAGAGATCTAAATTCTAATAAATAGATGAAGTAAAACATTTACTGCCAGCAACTATGTCAAGCTAGCCATAGGAAACTGTAGCTCTGCAGCTGGAGAAGGGCAATATTCTGCAAGCCAGAGAAGCGATGGAACTCCTCCAGCTTTGATTATTTATGGTGTGATGATGAAGGAACAACTTTCCATCTGAGGAACAGCTTTAAAGTTGAACAGTGAAGCTGAAACAGAGGTTTAATGAAAAATCAGAGGGGAACAAAACTACAGCTACAAACCCAGTAACGTTCGTCTTAACAATTTAAAAATATAATTTATGTGCAAAACCAGATGTTACCTTGTCCAGCTTCAAGGTAAACAGCAAACTGTACTCATAACAACCCTTCTGCTGAACAGCAAACGCACTATTTACTGTTGCTGTAGACAAGGCTCACTTCATACCTCCAAATGTTATCAAAATGAACACAAATGCAAAACAAAAATATTTTAAACAAAGGCCACATCTGTATTTAATGCAAAGCTATTTTCAAAAATCCCAACCTTTCATAATCTACCATAATCGTAATAGCCTGAAACATAAGAATGCTTTCAGCCTCAGAAAAAAGGCTTCTAAATTTAAACATTTACGAGAACACTGAGAAGTGGCTTAGAACCATGCTTTAAAACATGTTTTCAGGCTTTAAATTGCTGAAAGCTGAGACCGCTTTACCCATTTGGCCTGGACTAGAGAAAGGGAGAGAAACACAAAAATACGTCGAAAAGACTGCACACGAAAATTTCCATTTAAAAAAAAAATGCAACCCACACCCTCATCCCAAACCTCCTTCCTCCCATGACTGAAACTCCCCCTCTTTTGCACAAAATGAAAGGCAGTGACTCTTCTTGCCTGATAACCACCACCAAACAACTCGGCTACATCACTGCCTCTGATGCACCACCATTTTTAACAAATAGTATTTGAAAATATTTTTAAAGAACAACTCTGCCATCAGTGGTGCTGCTCCTGAGCAGGAGGGACTCCGTCTCAGAGCTGCACTCATTTCAGCTTATTTTAAACTACACCGAGATGGGTGATTTTGCATTAGATCACAAAAAAGTGATCTAATGTCTGTTCTAAATAATGAACATGATCAAACCTTTTCATGTTTTTTGCCCAACTCTTAAAATGTGTGCTTTATGCTGGGAAGGAACTTCCCTTTGGTATATTATAAGTATGTGAAGGAAGGATCGTTCTCACATTTCTGTTTCAGAGAAAACACCAAGCTGTTTGATTTTGAAAGTTAAAGGATTTAGTTGGGGGAAAAATTGCTTCTAAATGCAAAAATACTCTAAGTTAAATATAGTCTGTTTGATATGAAACACTGACTTTAAAATTAGCTATACCTTTCCAAATATGCCATACATTCTCCTCCATCTAGCCAGTGAAAATAAATATGAATATATTGTAGGCATTAAAAGATGGGTGTGTCATACCCAAGAATATGGACAAGTAGTATTTTTACAGTAGTTCAGCATACAAAAGTAATGTATGAAAGCAAAGAAACAACCACAAATATGTATTTATAGCAACAGATAGTAGGAAGGAAGTTGTGAAAATCCACAGGGATTCTTCGCCTTACCATGCACCTGTACAGTCCTATGAGCATTTTCCTTTTGTCTTTTATTTTTCTTGGCTCCAGCTTTATAATTCAACTCCAAGGCAAATCACCAGACAAGAAGAAATGACATTCAAAACTATTACCTCATCAAAATTGCCTTTACTATTTAAAACCAAAACACATACACAAAATATTGCAACAGCTTCTGGAATCCCACTCCGAAAACCCAACATTTTTAGATCTCTTCTTATGTTCTCATCACCACAATTTTCGCAAAACTGTGAGAAGCCACCCAGGGCATTTTAGGAATGACTCTTTCATCGTTGCAATCCCTCAATTACAGTTTGACCACAAGAAGAAATGAATAGATTAGTACTGTAGACACAGTAGTGGTGTATTTTTCAGTTTGCCTTCTGATGTGCTCTGACTTCTGTTGAAGGCTGATGTAGTGACTTCTTACACTGCCTCCATTATTGCTCCCAAAATAATTCAGAGGTACAGAAGGCTTTAAGTAACAGCAGTTTAAACACCACTTTCAAACTAGATTCAACAGTTCAATGACCTTTTCATCAAAACTGAGCTCCAGAACTCCATCTCCTTACAGCCTGAACTGAGTGGCCCCCTTGGAGATCTGCTGAAGTGGTCACTTACCGTGTCTGCTCTGTAGCAGGGGACACAGCACGCACTATTCCTGCACTACAGGCTTTGCATCCTGGTAAGGCAACTTTTACTGGCTCCTAACATTGGAAGGTTAAGGTGCTGCACGCAATTCCTCTAGTACAGTAAATCTGGCAACACAAGTGAAAAAAACTCATTATCTGTACCACAGACTCAGAAGTGCAGGAACAATTTCCTTTTAAAGGCACAGGCTGGGTCAACTGCAGAGGTACAAAAGCTATATACCAAGAGTGTTAAAGGTAGAGCGCTAACAGTGCTGGCAGCAGTAGTGCTGCTGTCACAGGAGGTGCAAGGAATATGCTAAAAGTTCAGTGTGAATCATGCAGTCTACTGCAGAACGTCAAACTTCCCAGGAGTAACCAACTCAAGTACTAGTCTTAAAATAAACTTGTTTTTTTCATAAAGCAGTCAAGCTTTGAGGGTTCCATCTTCACGGGTGGCAACTCACTCATCTTCAACCCAAAGAGTACAGGCAAAAAAATACATGTAGATTTTTCACTTTAAAAACCCAGAGATGCTTGCTGTTACCAGGACAGCATACAACACCTAAAAGACCTGCCAATAACAAACCTGCAAGCAATGAACATGGCTGAAGGCACTGAAATCAAGAAATGAAGAATTAAAAGCTCTTTAATTATAGATTATAAAGCTCCTGAATGCCGACTGCATGTACATGCATTCAAATGATTGAGAGAACTGCATGGAAATATGTATTTACCATAAAATCTAGAAGCACAGTTGGGACTGAAATTACACGTTAGTCTGGTCTGTTATTTCATTCAAGATCGAGATTATTTCCTATAAACTGATTTATTTCCATGAGCATAGTATAATTTGAGAATCTTTTACCTCCATGTTAACCATTAGTATTGAGTATTTGCTGCTGCTGAGGTCTGTAAGCATGAATTCTAACTACAGTGTTTCATAATTGGCTTGCATGTACCCATCTGGAATGACACTGGATAAATATATTTTCTGTTTAACAAAATAAAGGTTAGCATGACTTAAACCCCAACAAACCCACCAAACCAACCTCTGAAGTGATACATCTCTTGAGTTAGTTTAGCAACACAGCAAGAAAACATACATGATTTGTTAAGGTAGTTGATGTTTTTCATATCGTTGTAGAACAGAGCTTCAATATTCACCATTATGAGAAAGTTCAATAATTCCTTGTTTTGATAACAAACTAAAAATTGTCCATAAAGTAGAAGGGTCTTCGCAGTTATGATGACTCTGCCAATGATTACAGAGATCCTCTTTTCTTTCAAATAACTGTTTGCATAAAATGCAATTATAGCCTGCTTTTGACCAAATTTCTACTTTTTTGCTCGGTGTACCAAAACCAACATTTTGCATCTCCCTGGCTGCTTCACCGCTTCCTGACTGAATCAGTTCACTTTTAGATAACATATCGACATTATTTTGATGGTGAAAGTGTATCTGTCTTTTCAGTTTTGGAAAAGTATAAAACTCCTCCTCATGGGCACTGCATTTTGTTAAACGTCTTCTCTCATTGTGCTGTTTCCAGAAGTGGGTTCCGTGTTTGGTCAGTTCCCCCTTCGCTCCTCTATTTCCTTGCAAACCCCCTTCCTTTACTCTTCCCTGGATCTCCTCTCCATGAGAGCACAGTAAGTGAAACTTCATTTCACCAAAAGACTGTGCAATAAACTGGCATCGACCACATTTGATCTGTAATTTCACTTCTCCTGGGTTATGGAATAGGTCCTCAAAATTGCACTTATTTCCCCTGTTAAAAAAAGGACATACGAACTATTTCAGTATTATCCACACACAGAATAGAGATGGCAATTTCTGTCCTTCTAAGTTCCAAGAAGAGATGACATTCACAAAACATTCTTTTAATTAGAAACAGGTACTGCTGCTACAGTGTCTAATTTATTTGGAACAGAAAAAAAAAAAAGATAAATAAAATAATAGTAAGGCTGATTAGGCAACAACTAAAACCAAATGTCATTCGACAGTGCTGAGTTTAAGAATTGCCTCCAAAATTAGCCTTGGTAGAAATAATCTTTTAACAACACTAACCTTTTAATAAAAGGTTAATAACATTTTTTTAAGTTCCCGATTTAATGAGGTCAATCCAAACACTTCTAGCTCTGTGCTAGAAAAGTGAAAATGAGCATTACGGGTAGCGTACTACTATGAGAAACTAACTGGTTTACCCTGAGTGATCTAAAGTTGATTTAAAGCAAACCCACGTGTCTCACCTCCCACTCCAAGATGGAAACAACAAAACTTTAAAGTTTCTTTTTTTTTTTTTCCTAAAAGTTTGTAACACAGTTTTAAAACTTTCAAAAGCCTAATTTACAGCTGGACAGCCTCTCTCATTGCTTTAGGACAGCTCTGCAGTGTATAGGAAACAGGTACACACAGAGCAAGCAAGTGCCGGCTTTAAGTTAAGCCAATCAAAAGAAGACCTCCACAGAAACCTCCTCACGATGTCCACGAAAAGGACCACATAATACTGTGTATTTATACGCATTTGACGTATCACCCAACAAAATAGATAACCTAAATCATTCATTGTACGAAGGCCAGTAAAGCTGAAAGAAAAGCGCTGATGTTTCTTAGTTCAATATCTTAAAAATTTCTAACTGATGCCCCAGAGAGTGGAGCTAGGCAAACCAAAAGGTGTAAAACTGCACTGCAGTGTCGTAGTCAGGCGTCCGGTTAAAGCCCTGAGCTCATTTAAGTGTACTTCAATGAAAGTAAATGCACAGGGGAACAAACAGAAAAGCCAACATTTATACTATGTCAAGAAACTTCACCTCAAAATCATAATGCAGAGATAAAAGAATGTTCTCTCCATCTTAATATGATAAATGTTAACTTTACCTGTCTAAGTGATCGCAAGAGCAGTGGTAATCAACACACAAGCCAGATTAGCACACAGCACGCCAGAGAAGGAAATGGGATAATGATATTTAATAGGGTAAACAAACTATGAGCTAATACTGAAATACGAATTACTTTGCACTTATTGCAGTTGGTTCACTTATCTTCTGGGGAAAACCCAAAAGAGGTAGAACACAAGACAGTGCAGATTAACAGAAAAAGCTTTAGCTTTGAGAAATCAACTGATCAAAACAGCTCTACTGGTAGCATATTGGGTATTACTAGAATATATGCAAAATTACTTTTACTATTCAAGTGTCAGTAATAATTTATATTCAATAAATAAGCTAAAAAATACTGGATGGTCTAATGGATTGACTAGATTCCTTAACAAAATATTTAAACCATTAGGAATCTCACTTTGGGAGAAAAAAAGATGAGGAAAAAGCAACAATTTTCATAATGGTGATGTTTATGAACTGTCACTGACAACGTGAAATCCCATTTTCATTAGCATTTAATCAGTGAAAACACTCACCTCTCCGTTGCTGCTTCTGCTTCTTTTATATTTGCGTCTCTCTTCTTTAAAGCATCTTGCAGCTGCTGCTCGCTGGTAGAGGGCTCTGTGCTGATAACAACCCTGTGCACTTCTCTTAGATGACCAAAATACACTTTTGCATGGCCAAAAACTTTAGCACAGAATTCACAACACACAAGTTTTTTAGGTTTGCCTTCGTTGTGATGAAGTTTCATATGCGTGCTCAGGCTTCCAGAGTGTATATATGCTTTCCGGCAAATTCGACAGCTGTAGGGCCGTTTGTTTGTATGTGTGTTCATATGGTCCTGAAGATGATGTTTAAAATGGAAGATATGGTTACAAACATGACATTTATACAACTGTTTAGGTATGGTTGAACATGCATTTCTACTTAAATCACTCGATTTATCTGATGTAGTATCACTATGCTTGTAACTTAAATATTTGTTAGGAAGTGAACTATTTAAAAAAATATCTTGGTCTAAACAGTCAGGAGATGGTGTCTCTACTACTGCTGCAGAAGTCAGTGGTGTGAAAGCCTGCAAAACCACCACTGGTTTTGGTCTAATACTACGGTATTTTTTCACCGCCTCTGCTTTTTTGTCTTCAGGTGGCTGAAGATCAACTTTCACCCTCTCTCTTCCTTCTCTAAACTTATTAATGATGGATTTCCTTCGCTTGGTCTGAAAAGCCAATAAATCATCTGTGGCTCTTCTTTTCCTGCCTCTTCTTTTAGAGGCTGCACCGTTCAATTTTTTAAGACTGTCGACATCCACTTTATTGGATGGAGAGAAGGTATTTTCTCGAATGGTTTGTTTGGGGACTTGTGTAAATGATACAGCTAATCGCTTATCACATGCTTTAGTAGGAACATGAAAGTTTTTTGCCAAAGCTGGTATCTTTTCACATTCAGATTTTAGTGAAGGACCAGAAGCACCTGTAACATTAGTATTCTGCTTAGATTTACAGAACACTGAATTTTTCATCCTTGAGTAAGGCAAAATAGGAAGTTTTCCTTTTGGTGCTGATGGAGTCATCTGTATTGTACTGCCAAAAACTGCCGGTGACAGGACAGCAACAGAGTTCGCAGAATTTGTGGGTTTTTCCTTTAGTTTCTCAGATGTTATGAATGACTCTCTTGTGGTTTCAGATGCTGTCTTCACAGAGCATAGACTTAGTTTCATGGGATTAATTGTACTTGTTGGCGCAGATAAAGAGTCTTTAATTACAGATGGTCCAGAAACATTACCGTTAGCATTTTCAGTTTTGTTCACTAAAGGAGATCCAGATTCCACATAATTGCTTTTATTTACTAATGTGGCAACTGTAATTTCAGCTGAGTCACGGTCTGTTAGCATCACTTGCTCAGTTGAATCTGAACTAGAATGAGTTTCAGGACAGTCTTCAGTTAAAGTAGTCATGGGGGAAGTCTGCGATGAGATCGATGCTTTGGTAGGAATCTCGTTATGCACACCCAAACCAGAGATTTGTGCCGGTTTTTTGTCACTCAGCAATTTATTTCTTACAGATTGGTACCTAGGGATAGGCAGCTTCAGGTTTTCAGAAGGGGCCACGTTTGACTGCTGGACTTGCTGCGTTAGGGCAGGGGCAACACAGGGCAAGGCCAACAGAGAAAAAGTCCCCTCATGACCAGCCACCTGCATGACAGCATAGTTTTGAGTTGGTACCACCAGCGGTTTAGAACCTGTAGCTGAAATTGGTGTATTTTGCTCAGGCAAAGATGACTGAAGACAAGAGACCACTCCAGATGTTAAAATTTTTGGTACCATTTTTGGAGCAATGGTCCTGAACTGACTTTTCTTCTGAAAACTTTGTATTATATCCGAAGGGGATTTGTGTTTATCTGCAATAACAACATAGCAAAGATGAAATATAATATATAGTATTTCTTTTTAAAAAAAAATCACGTATTGAAAATGCAACTGCATACAAAAGATACTATTACACACAAACTTATTAAAAATATTTAGGTATTTAAATGATCACTAAATTAAATTTAGAATTGCAAAGATTTCATGGAAAGAAAAAAAAAATAGTCCTTGAAGCAATGTGCTTGAATATAGATGCCAAAAAAACCCCACTCTTAATCTAATCTTAAATGGATGTTTCATTCTAGGTTAGAAACTACATGGCATTTCAGAACAAATACACTTATAAGCCTCTTCTGCCCTGGAAAAGCTGCACTATGATGTTGGCAATATTCAGCTGGAAGAACTAACCAAGGCAGGATTTAAACTCCATGAAGTAGAACCTTTCTGAGCACCCACTCTGATCGTATCACTCAACCAGAGTCATGCTATCTTTCAGAGTTTCTGTAATGTTTAGAATTTGCAGGGGTTTATCATATACAGATTAAAGCTTACCTGATAAAGTCTTTAAAAAAATTACTGCTATAAAACATGCAACTAACGTGTAATAAAATCAAAGACGACTTGAGAGAAGATGTACCATTGTTAAATACCTAATCACACACATTGCTTATGTGCCTTAAATGCACAATAAAACTACTGTACTAAGTTATTCAAATATTTTCTCGAAAGATGTGATTTATCAAGGTTATATCACAGTTCCTTCCCATTTCTACTTGTGTTGGTAAATGTCACAAACATTTTTAGTAAAGAAGAATGTGAGGATTACTAAGTAAAACAAATAAAAGGAAAAAGGTAAAATGTGTAAAATAAAATTGCATTGAGCAGCAGAGATATATGCTGACTTTTCAGACACTCCATAAAAAAGGATTTGATATGTAGTTAATCGTACCACTGCCATTTCAACCCTCAAATTCAACTACTGATGCTTCCAGTCCTCAAAAACTGGGATAGGTTTTCTGAAGAAAAAAAAAAAATCCCAACAATCTCAGTCACTGAAAATTCAAAGATCCCAAGACGAAAGACAATTTGGGAAGGCAACAATGTAAGAAAAATTCATTTTGAGAGAGGAATCACATTCCAATAGAATATGTAAAAATAAATGCTGGGACCTTGAAATACTGCAATAAGGTAATTCCACAGGGAAGTTTCCTCTCCTGATCATTTTAAAGCCTTGTATTACAAATGCATTAATACATGGTTATGGACTTAAAGAGGTAACTGTGAAGTACTACAAACACTGGCAACTCTATTAAGTTTATCTTAATCTTGGATGTTCTTTTCAGATGTTACACACTTTGCACCATGCCCTGTAAGTTACAGAGCTATCACATTTCAAGACCAGAACTCTGGGACAGATACACTTGCATATTCATGGTATGCACATGTGCAGTAAATCTACTGCCATCAGGACACGCTAGATTCACTGAGCAATCACATATAAACTGTACAGTTGGTTTGATGCTTCTCAAAACCCTTTGACCTACAGCAGGTTCACAGAGGAACTATACAGGGCATAAAACATAGGTCCTTTTATTGCCATCTACAGCATCAAACCCCAAATGCACCTTCTTGATCCCCCAATTAAGTGAAACTACTGGGCACCACAATAACTTTCTTTCTGCTCAGTGTCTGTAGAGATGTCCACAATTTCTAGATGTTCTGTGCAGAATGGACTACCGTACGTATGGAAATCCTGCCCCAAAATAAAGAGATCTCTATACACAGAGGTAAGTCCAGGCCTACAAAGTTTGTACAACC